CAATAGACAGTCCACGCAAACATCACTCCGTTATCCACTTTACCTGTACCAAGGGCCTTGCAGAAAGCCTTTTTGCAAGTCCCTTCAGCAAAGATCCTTTTTAACCTTAATTAAATGCTGCCTGTTTCCCGGCCCTGCCTGGATTATTGCTTCCTGCTGATGGGAGCTTTGTGGTGGTGGCTCCGGCTGGGGATGGGGCGGAGGGGAGGCAGAGAATGCAGCTAGGGCTGACGTCCTCCTTGGCTGCTCCAAGGTCAGTTTCCATTTCAAATGAAAGGGGAGAAGGATATTTGAATGATTCCCTGGCATTTACACCCTTTAATTTTTGCAGTAAAACAGGACTGATTTGCTGTGCTGTTTTTAAAAATGAAAAGACTAATGCAAGGAAAGCAGTCGCTAAACTCAAGAGGGAGGGGGTGTGGGAATCTTCCTTTCCCACAGGGGAAAAAACTGACCTGGATGCAGTGGTCAGTTAAGGGTCACTCATTCCCCATCCTCATTCAGTCCACAGGAGAGAAGTAACCAGGCAAGGCCAAAAATAGGAAATGTGTAACTAAAGGCACAGGAGCCCTGCAAAGATACCATATGACTTTGCCCTCCTACTGGAAGGAACCACGCAGCCTCTCGCCCTGCTTCCTGACACCAGCATCAGAAGCAGAACCCCGGAGGGCCCTCGGCGGGACGCTTTTCGTGGGCCCCCTGCTTCAGTGAGGTTGTGTTCCCACCACCAGGGCCACCAGCTGCTCTAACTGCTCCTCTGCATCCCCATCACGGCCACCACTTGCCTGCCTGGCCACGGTGCCCCCTGCTGCTTCTTCCCACAGCTGCTGCCACCTGGGCAGAAGGCAGGCCCGCAAGTGGACCGGGGCCCCTGGCAAGCGCCGGCCGTGGGCCTGAGCCATTTTGGCCACATCCCCCAGGTTCTCCAGCAGGCCTGTGTGCTGCCTGAGGCAGATCGCTCTGCCCAACGCAACTGCGGGGCCCGTGGGGGAAACGAAAGCTTGTCCTGCATGCCTGGCCTGTGAGGCAGCCCTGACGGGGGGGGGGGGGGGGCCCGACCCCCCCCCCAAGACACCACCCGGAAGGGGGGTTTTAAAGGGGGCCCCCCCGCGATTTTCCAAGGGGGAACCCCTTTTTTAAACGGGGCCCCCC